CTCTTCATTTCAAGAAACCATGGAGCTCATCACGAACTTGATTATCTTCGAAGGCTTCATTTTATATGTGAGTATATAATAACATGAATGATAGGCAGGCCCGCCCAGAGGAGGGAGGGGGGTGGGAATGGGGCAATCTGCCCCGGGCCCCGTGTAACAAGGGGCCCCAAGGGGTCTCCGGTTTAGTTTTGCCCCGGGCCCCTGGAAACCTCAGGGCGGTCCTGATGATAAGGCAATAATCTCATGCAGGTATGGAAGTTTTTTCTCTGAGCTTAATTTCCGTGGTTCTTTTTCTGTGGGCTTTTTTTTGGAGCACCACTTAGTCTGAACTGTAACGAGTAAGAGAAAGAGAAGCAGAAAAAGGAGGCTGAATGATTTCCATCTCTCCCATCGGGTGGCATGAGCTAAATAGGTAAAACGGAAACTAATCTGGTTTCATTCATGGCCCACATGGGGTTCGATTCGTCTGGATTAATCTCATTCCCATAAATGACATGGAATCAGATCAGGTTATGGTTTGACGGATCTGGTGCTTGTCACTCCATTGTCTATAGGTTTCAATTTCTCGAGAGGGAATCGCAATGAGGTCATTTCTGGAAAGGCCTTTAATTCATTTTTTTGTGCTAAGATTGGAAATTTGGCTCCTGTATTCACTGCCTTACTTATTTAACCCTTTCAGACCCAGAGTCCATTCCAATGGGCATCGCATTTTCATTGTGTCTATGGTAATTTCTTGGGATTCTCGTGACTTTGCGCTCCATATTACTCTACAATGGGCGCAATTATGCATGGCTCAATTCAATCAGAGGCTTTCTCTCGCCCATTGGTAATTAAATGTATAATATGTAATATATGGTAATGATATGGTAAATTTATACAAAATATGAAAACGATATATAGAACATAAAAAGTTCAAGTAGAATAGCAAAACAGCTCAAAAATGCAAAAAGTATATTATTCCGGTAGCGGCCTTAATTCAAGTCTGAAAGGGTTAATTTACGTATCTCTTCTCGTACGCTGGACACAAATCCATCGAGAATTTCAGGGAAAACTCATTTAAGTGCAGAACCCAAAGCTCCTACAAATCAGCAGTCCCCTATATGACCTACCTCATGAACCCATCATCCACCTAACCCAACTTCTCCACTTCACTTCATATACCCTTGACTCAATGATTTCGTAATTTCACCCTTAAAGTGACGATGGATACCAATTTGCTTATGCACTAACAGTCCTGATCTTCAATAAACCATTATTATTATTATTATTATGAATAAAGGAGGTATTTCAATGTTAGGAAGGAAACTGGAAAGTCTGCTCGCCCACACTGCTTGGTATCTTCCTCTTCCTCTCTTCAGCCTTCTCTCCCACATGTGAAGATGAATTCTTCGAGAGGCTACTGCTCGCATCACAGCGCGTAAGGAGGATTTTCTTTTCCCATTCCAACGGTCACTATCTAGTTGGCTTAGTATGCAGTAATTCCTGTTGAAGTTCAGCTATTTCAGAGTTTCTAGATAGTACCCTATTTTACCTCTTTCGCCCATAAAACCGTGACAGTTATCAGTAGTACATAATTTTTTATAATTTATAATTGGAGGGAGAGATTAGCATGAATGATCTCGACTTCATGACAATATGGGCATAAACTCTCATTGGGGTTCCGTCGCGAACCTTCAACCTCGAAAAGGAAAATGATGTACTGTACACTCTTAGAAAATTCCGAGCGTTTGGGGAGTAAAAAGTGAGCACACAGTGAGCTTTTCGAATTTACTCTATTACTCACCAGATGCTCCCTCATCGCTCGTATTGAATTGAACACCTTGAAGTTCTTCATCAGACCACTAGATGGAGGTAAGGGTTCTCGCTTTTCGCACAGTACACAAAAGTTCCCTTCCCTCTTTCCCTGGAATCGTCACTCGCAGGATTGTTTAGTACCTCGACATATGTCTCGCCTAGTGTCATTATAGGAATCAATAAACACGGACACTTCATTGGATTGTTTAGTACCTCGACATATGTCTCGCCTAGTCTCATTATAGGAATCAATAAACACGGACACTTCATCATTTGTTATCCACATAATCAAGAAATATTCATGGAGTCCAGGCCATAAACAAGCTCATATTCCTATTGAGAACCCTTTTGGAACACGTAATATTTTATCCATATCGGAGAACTAGAATATACAGAGAATATCCATGAACTTCATTCAGTCACACCTCAATTAAATGAGGAAATAAGGAACTGACATTCTCGAACACTCTATGGAACCCATAAGAGGTCGTCCACCCTCTGATATGTGCTGTATTCAGTACAGGCAGAGGTAGGCCAAAGCCTGCACGAGAACGAGACGACGCACAGTATATGAGAACTTTCATATTTGCATGACATCCCTATCACTTTCTAATTGGAGCGTTTTTACTCACGGAGGAGGAGAGCAATTTTACTCCTTGGTGATGGAGTAAATTCGCTCCTTTCCCAGAGTGAAAGGGGGGTGAAACTGGAGTTACCTATTTTACTCTCTTTTTTGAGAAAAATCGCTCCCCTTTTTCTAAGAATGTAGCTCAACCAAATGGCCATTTCCCAAGGGACAGATACCGATCAAAAAGTGGGAGTATGATTGGGTGAAATTAAAATTACATTAATTGCGTCATACTCGAGTTATGAGTCATCAAGTGGAACTGTGTCAAACACTGTCACAGTTTTGTCCCTCATATCTCACGAATTCGCCAGAGCGGCCTTCTGCCTCACCAAAAATACATCATTAAGAATTTGGGATAGCAAGGCTTTCCGTGTCGAGATGAAGGAAAGCCAGGGAATTTCCGTTGTAAGAAAACTTTAATCACGAAATATCGCAATGTGTCCTAATACGGATTCCCAACTGAAAAGAACATCAGCCTTATTTTCCAAGCATCTATGCAAAACCCAATTTTCTCTTTGATCAAAGCCACGTTTTTTCCAAATCGTTGTCGAAGAGCGAAAACTGGGGACACAGAAGGTGAAAGGAGATTTTCCTGGTATTTCCTGGTTTCATGAGGTAGGACATATTTTCAGTAAATTAACGAATTGCCTAATTAATTAATATTTTTGGGTCTCGCGACCCTTAGTTTACCTTTCGTTTCCTGAGTCAAGCCATGGCTCAGAGATACCTGAACTTCCGATACACCCTGCCATCTGTCGAATGGATTTTGAAGATTCTCCCAGAATGGAATACAAGCAGGAAGCACGAAAACATTTTTTAAGTTTGCAAAAAAGTACGTTTCGCATATTCGGGTACGTTCCCGAAGCCACTGCCTGCGAGAAAAAAAATGTATCGTTGGTCAATGCTCGTTTTCAGACGAGTCCATTTCCTCACACCTGCTGCATCTCCTGTCATTCAGTCTTGGAATCCCTGCAGCGAATGTGCATTCAACTTCGCGCATATTCGAGGGTGGGGGGATTTGAAGTTGGCTTCCTGTTTTGTCACATGCGATAAAACAAGTGATGCAACATTTTCTGCTTTGGAGGAAAATAAAAAAAAACGCAGCATACCACCATAAGTCGAATTGCCTAATTGATTTTTTTTTTTAAGAATGTCGGCGAATGAGTATCATGACGCCAGTTCGATTGGCAAGAACGGTCGGACAAGTGCGCCGCAAGGAAAACGCTATGCTTTCGACGAAAATAAAACAACTCACGTTCACTTTAAAAGGTCCGTGTGCTCGGTGGTCCGCGGACGACAGATTGAGAACCACTACCCTATGAAATGGGGAGGGCGACGACAATGATGCAGTTGTGGTCTACGTTTCTCATATCTACAGGGTATGGGAGAAAAAGGCCATCGACAACGACGGAGAAAATATAAGATTTCCTGAAAATCCGCCAGATGTCAAGCCTGCTGCCCTACACGGTTGTCGGATAGTCAGTGGTAATTGCCCTTTGGGGGACAACCATAGAGAAGAAAATACGCCTTTATTCTTTATTTAAAAAAAAAAATGAACGCTGTATAAAAAAAAAAGCATGAGCGGAATTTCTCCATTTCTCCATACGATGTCGTTCTTCTTTGACAAAATTTCGTCCCCTCTTCGAGCGTCACTGCATGCCGTCGAACATCGTCCGCGCCAAGACGACTGGAACTCGCAGGCTCTTCGGCAGGGAGAGGATACTTATATCGTTACCTCTTACGGCAATAATCGAAGAGATTGAAACCCAAGCAATCGTGCAGGGCTCCACAGATCGGGACTCAGAGACCCAAGAGGATTCTAATACTTGGATAATAATACTTGACCTTTGATTCTCGAGATGACGTCATCACCCCACTAGAAGCATCATTTTCTTCTCCCTTCTTGCCCTGGCCTCACCATAGCCTGCGGCTCTGTCTCTTTCGCCTGTCATACTCTTTTTCTCATTGCAGTAAATTACATTATACCATTGTAACATCTACCATTGAATTCTTTCCCACTGTGGCACTTGCTCTTCACGCTTATCCTAGATTCGATCCTCTCGTGATTTATTCCTTCTCAATTTGTCTACTAAAAAGAGCTCTATGGTCGCGACATAAAAAAGGTTCAGAACCACTGCTCATAATCCTCAAAAGTCTACATGCTGTGGACTTATGAGGATGAATTTGGTGCGGAGGTAGAATCGGCGCGAAGGCCAATACGCACCTAATGGTGTGAAGATGAATAACGAATTTTTAAAGATTGCGAATTTTCCCGTCTCAGCTTGTCCGTGTCGCGTGCATCACGCGGTTCATCGCTCTCATTTCCGAGCGACGAGACCGAGTTAATCGGCGATCGCACCTCGTCGATCCCGTTATGGAGGCCGAGAGGAGCGAAAAACGTGGATGGTCGATGCAGGACACTATCAGGTGGCTTCGTGTCTGCGAAGTCCTCTTTAAAGGAGATAAGGCTGACGTGGGACTTTTAGAACCTGCAGGAATATCAAGGATCTGCCATTGTGTCGTTCGTTTCGACCTGTGAGGTGCATCATTGTACTGCTTCAAAAATGTCGATTCAGGTATGCTCGCAGTTCCTGCTCGTGTTTTATGCTTTAGTGATGATCCTCCCTTTAAGATCCTGATCATCTTCTGTTATATTACCCAGTCCTTGTTTCTCCTCTGGGCCTTGATGATGCAACTGGCACGCTCGAGGGAGTCGGACAAAGAAGCCATCTGCGATCCTGACTGGGTTTTCTTCGAAGATGCCTGCTATTTTTTCAGCAAAGGCCCCTTGACTCAGATCGAAGCCCGAAGTTTTTGTCTCGACCAAGGCGGAGACCTGGTGAGCATTCACGGCCCGGAAGAGCAGAAATTCGTGGAAGAAAATGTCGCCTATCGAAGCTCTTGGATTGGTGCATTTACCACCCAATCTTTAATTGATGACCCTTGGAACTTCGAATTTTTCGACGGCACTCCAAATGACTATCATCAAGTCGGAGTCGGTGAGGGTTGGATCTATTACCCCGGAACCCCAGGTGGGGGGATCCTTTTAAGGCCTCTACTATTGAAAAATGTGGATTGCGCCTTGAAGAGGACTGTATATTGCTACAGTCCTTATTACAATCCTCAGTGTGGGTGTGGTAATGGGGACTTTGATTTTGTGGCCGGTACATGTTTAAAGAAAGGTCCGGAACCCATGTCTTTCGAAGATGCAAATCGATTCTGTTCTAGCCTTGAAGGGGGTTGTGGAGCATGGGGAGCCGTTCTCCCTGGGAGCGACGATATGAGGAACATTATCACAGGCTATTACATGAGCTCAGATGATAACTTTATGGTTGAGGACGACGGGGATCGCCCCGGGCGATACTGGGTCGATCTGAGAAGAAATCCGGAATCCGGGCTGTGGGAAACGAATAGCGGATCGCAAGTGAATGTAACTGGATGGCATTGGGACGGATTTCCGACCGAAGATGGCGGTGATTGCGTCTCCATGTTCGTCTCCTCTTGGATCCCACAAATAGCAAGTAAGGAAAATGGATTCATATGCAAGAAATCCCTTGCATGATCGACGAGTTCGTCCCTGCATCCCATTCCCTTTGTTTGTTTGTGGCTAGGGATGAACGGTTCAGATTCGTCAGAGCAATAAAATGCCTTAAATTGCCCCTTCCTTTTCTTTTTTTTGTTGCTTAGTTAAGACCAAATTTTTGGTTTTACTGAAAGTAATATCAGATACCACGTGGTTGACTCACCAGGATGGGTGACTAAGGATTGTTGTGAATGAGTTTTTAAGGGAATTCGATTCCAAGTATGTTTCATCTATTCATAGCTGTTGTTAATGAAAGCGGGAAGAGCCTCAACGCCCCATGTGGGGAAAAAAAAATTATTCAGGCCCGGCGAAGAAGCTCTTGATGAAATGCGGAGGGCGACGACAATGACCACAATGTGGTCTACGTCTCTCGTATCTATGTTCGACTGATATGCAACTAAGTTTAAGCAGGTCAACATGATGCTGAAATACGAGTAGCATACTGAGAATACTGTCTTACCTGGGCAACACGACCTATGGATCCGCGCGAAATGCAACCAGCGGCTTTAGACCCTAAATGTGAGAATTTCCACCAGAGTCCCGCTGCTCCCGCCTCGTCGAGCCGGCTTAACCGCCGCCTCCTCGCGAGGCGGCGGTGAAAGGCCAGCATCCCTGGTGACCTCTGGTGACCTCTCGGCGGGCTCTGTCGCTCTGCCGTCCTCGTCGGGTTCCCGATTGCGTTCGTAGCTGCCACCTGGTCGAAGGAAGTGGGATACCAGGGTTTCTATTTTTTTTGCATGCAAAAGTTTAATCATTTGAAATTTCATTTCGACGCTGCATGGAAAGCAAGAAGATATCTGTAAGAGCATGTGATTGCTGTGGGAAACGCATCGAAATGGATGATGAAGCAACTCCGATGACTGGCCCAGGGTAGGTTGTTGAAATCGATTAAAGCTGTTTCTCGTGAAGAGCAAGTGCCACAGTGGGAAAGAATTCAATGGTAGATGTTACAATGGTATAATGTAATTTACT